CTGCCCTCTTCTGCCATGGCAACCACAAGTCTGTTCTCTCTGTCTAAACAACTCTTTAAAAGCAACAAAGCAGGGGGGACCAGGATGGGGAACACATGTAAATCCATGGCTAATTCATTTCAATGTATGACAAAAACCACTGCAATGATGTAAAGTAATTAGCCTCCAACTAATAAAAATAAATGGAAAAAAAAAGAAAATAAAAGCAACAAAGCTCATCTTGATTCTTCATTCCCTTCTCTTTACATATGTACTGATAAAAGTGATACAATCTGGCATTATGATTTAAGAACAGGCTAAGATTGTTTATCTTCCTTAAGTCGAATCCAATTTCACAAAAGTTTTCTCACAAATATTTACTGAGTATGAAACTCCATTGTACAACTTAATAGCTGTGTGATTATGGAACAGTTATTTAACCTCTCTACCCACAATTTCCCCATACGTAAAATGGTGATAATACCACCATCTATGTAATAAGGCCTAAGAAGTGCTTAGTAATTGTCCAATAAATGGAAAGATAAAAGAGACATCTAGAAATACACAAATGTGTAATTTAGTGTGACTGCAATAACCACCACCATCGCCACAGCATCAGTGATAGCAGCTGCTGACATCTGGGTGCTTATCAATGTGCCAGATATCATACCAAGTATGTTGCAAATATGTCATTCAGCCCTCATTGTAAGAATAGGCACAATTATTGTACCCACTTTGAAAACGGGAAAAATGAATGGACAAAGAAATGAGATAATTTGCCCAAGGTTACAGAGGTAACAACTGGTATATATACCAAGAACTTTAAAAACATAGCTTTGCTCGTTCAATGAACCAGGCAGTCTGTTGGGGAGCTACTGTTGAATTTATGGAAGTTCACATCTTTTTGTTTGTTTTGCTTTTCTCCTCCTTGTGTTTGTTTTATATCCCTCTGAAAAATAGAGAACTCTATTCTTTTTCTCAGCAAGGAATTTTATAACCTGGTTTTAAGTAGAGCTCACTGCACTGGGCAGAGGTTTTGGGATTATTTTTTGGGTTTGTTTTTTATGAATGAATTCAGTGCTGTGACTTTAGATACAAGAATAATTGTAATCAAAGTAATTCGCTGTTAAAATTTTACTCATCAAGTGATTTGGAAATGATTCAAAGAAAAATAAGAGATCATTAAATTACAAACCTGAGAAATACGAATGTCTTTTAAAATTTTATCATTCAGAAGGTGATTTTGTTTTTTATTATATGTCCACTTAAAAGGCTTGTGCTTTTTATTATAATCATATCAGCAGGTCTTTGGATTTATCCAAGGAAGAGGAGACTAGTTTGGGGAGTGTCATAAACTCATAGGTAATAGCCAGTACAAGGTCATCTGCAGATTAGTAGCTAAATAGGATATTGCCAAAGAGTAATAATGGGCTGGCTGGCAATGTAGATGAGTCCTGGTGAGTGTTGGCTGATAGCTAATGACCAGCATGGCCAGGGGTGTGACAATGCTGATATGTGTGCTGATAAATTCCTGAAGACTGGTGGATCTCAAAGACTTGAGGAAGACCATAATGTGACAGTTTCACCTGTCATCCTCACATGTTAAAAATGAGAGAGAAGTTCTGTTTGATGATAATCATGCATAGGTTCTGAGTGTCGTCCAGAGCATGAGAGATGCTTAAATGGTAGGGTTTGTGAGGAGTGTTATATTCTGACATATGTTTGTGTCTTCCAGGCTTTCTCAGGAGTGTTGTTTTTAATGCAGCCTGTGCCTAAGTTATGAAAATGAACATTTTTCCTGCAAAAGCCTTATAGGAACCTGTGGCCTGAATAGGAATTGATGTTAGGTTATTGAGACACAGAATTTGAATGATCATTAAGAATAAAACTCCTGATAAGCAGGGCACGTACAAGAAAAAACAGGAGTTATAGTATTAGGTACAGTTACTACCTGGTTAATGTGAAAGACTGTTTACCTGCCTTTGGAGCATAGGTTCTATGTTAAATATCATATATCCTCTTGCCACCTGTCCTTGAGCCATACAGATAAATTAATGTGATGCCATGCCATGGGCAATGTGGACCTAATAGATGAACCCTTATGTCATAATGCCTGCACTTACTTGCATGAAAATAGGATTAGAAGCATTTTTGAAGCTGTTTTGAAGGAAATAAAATGAATGAACACAACCATTCATATTAAGAGATAGAAACATTTCTTCCCCAAAGGTTGAGTTAAGTATAAGGGCAGATTGTTTAAAGGAATAATCAGATATTTTGGAAGGAAGTATAGTTTTTAAAGAGTAGCCATCAACATGATAAGCTGAGTATCTAATCCTTAAAGAGTTCCAGTATTTTGGTCACCTGATGGGAACAGCTGGCTCACTGAAAAAGTCCCTGATGCTGGGAAAGATTAAGGGCAGGAGAAGAGGGTGTCAGAGGATGCGATGGCTGGATGGTATCACTGATGCAGTGGACATGAACTTGGGCAGACTTTTGGGAGATGGTGAGGGACAAGGAGGCCTGATGTGCTACAGTCTGTGGGGTTGCAGAGTCAGACACGACTGGGTGACTGAACAGCAACAAGAGTTCCTTAAGTTAGAATTGCTGTGTGTCCTTGGGGTCAGTTTTCTGCTCAGTTAAAAAATTCAAAGTAGAAAGATTCAAGGACCAAATGTTGCATTCAGCCATAAAATTTACTCATAGGATTCAGGAAAGCCACAGTCTCCAGAGGGAGATAGAACTCCTGTTTTGTTGGTGTCACCAGGCTTGATGGCTAAGAGTGGTGGACTTCTAGGATGGTGGCTCTTGGAAGTTGCCCATCTCAGTCAGGCCACCTCTCTTCTTGATCAGGGCTTAGTGTGAAGTTTTTGAGAGGAAATTTGCCTAGCCATATATCCCAGTCATGTGTGTAAGACAGAGATGCAACTTGACTAGCAACTGAAACAACAGTTTGTTGCCTACCCAAGATGGAGAGCCAATCTGGACACAGTTAAATGCCTTTTTAAATGTTACTGGAGGCTTTGAAATAGTGGACCTTAAAAAGTGTGTGTGTTGGGGCGGTGGGGGTGTGGATTAAAGTAAGTAGTAAAGATATATGTATTTCCAGAGTGTTAGGCAAAGTAAGCTCAAATGCTCTGATGTTTGACTCTAAGATATTTTATTGAATTGAATAAGGGAATTGGTCCTTCAGTGGCTATTTCTTTGCTGGTTGTGTCTTCCATTTCTGTGAATAATGGAGAAGGACTATACTTAGAAACAAGTAGTCGAGTTTGATTTATGCTTGGTGCTTTTGCCTATCAACACCGACCCATATTGCTTTCATTGCTTCCACTCATTCACCCACTTAAGCAGATGGCATATTATACCACCATTCAGAATTTCTAGCAAGTTTTCCAAGCTGTGCACTGTTCGTTTATTTTCAGGTAAGCTGGATTCCAGTTGAATATTCATCCTATGCTAATCCCAACTATGGCAAGAGCTTTGATAGAAATGTTCTCTGGCATAAGTCTGTATGTAGCTTATGCAGAGGCACCATCTTCCTGCACTGAGACCCACCCAAAGCACATACTTAGATCTGTGCAGAAAGAAATTCAGATTTCAAAGCGTTGTTATTGTTGTTCAGTCACTCAGTCGTGTCTGACTCTTTGCAACCCCATGGACTGCAGCATGCCAAGTTTCCCTGTCCTTCACCATCTCCTGGAGCTCTGTCCATCAAGTTAGTGATGACATCCAACCATCTTCTCTGTCATCCCCTTCTCCCCCTGCCTTCAATCTTTCCCAGCACAGGGTCTTTTCCAATGAGTCAACACTTCATTTCAGGTGGCCTAAGTATTGGAGCTTCAGCTTCAGCATCCGTCCTTCCAAAGAATATTCAGGACTGATTTCCTTTAGGATGGATGTTTGATCTCCTTGCAGTCCAAGAGACTCTCAAGAGTCTTCTCCAACACCACAGTTCAAAAGCATCAATTCTTCAATGCTCAGCCTTCTACACTTCAACTCTCACATCCATACATGACTACTGGAAAAACTAACCCATAACTTTGACTAGACATAACTTTGTCAGCAAAGTAGCATCTCTGCTTTTTAATATGCTGTCAGGGTTTATCATTTTCTTCCAAGGAGCAAGTATCTTTTAATTTCAAGGCTACAGTCACCGTCCACAGTGATTTTGGAGCCCAAGAAAAGAAAGTCTGTCACTGTTTCTGTTGTTTCCCCATCTATTTGCCAAGAAGTGATGGGATCGGATGCCATGATCTTAATTTTTTGAATGTTGAGTTTTAAGCCAGCTTTTTCACTCTCCTCTTCATCAAGAGGCTCTTTAGTTCATCTTCACTTTCTGCCGTAAGGGTGGTGTTACCTGCATATCGGAGGTTATTGTTATTTCTCCCAGCTTGTGGTTCATCCAGCCCTGCATTTCGCATGATGTACTCTGCATATAAGTTAAATAAGCAGGGTGACAATATATAGCCTTGATTTACTCCTTTCCCATCTTGGAACCAGTCCATTGTTCCATATCTGGTTTAACTGTTACTTCTTGACCTGCATACAGGTTTCTCAGGAGGCAGGTAAGGTGGTCTGGTATTTCCGTCTCTTTAAGAATTTTCCACAAGAGACTGAGCCAGACCTGTCTTTGAGTGTCTCCTGTGGAGGCACGGGTCAACAGTGGTCTGCCTCGGGGGGAGGGACTCTGGCTACCGCAGACCTGGGAGGCATGGCATGTGGCATAAATCCTCTTGGAGGAGGTCACCATTAGCCCCACCGTAGACTGTCTAGCAGACAACCTGCAAACTGGAGAACAATTATACGAAAGAAGTTCTCGCACTGCTGTAAAAGTTCTAGCACCCACAACAGATTTCCCAACCTGGGGATCCAGCAGAGGGACTGAGATGTCATAGTATTGGCCATATTTAAAACAACACTCCAGATACAGCTCTCAGTCTGCAGTTGAGGCCACGTTCTTTTCTCTCTGGATTATTACAGCATTGTTCATGCTCTCTCTTGGGGCTTTCAATTTGCAGATGCTAATGCTGGAGACCGTGGACAGACCAATAATGCCGCTTCTGCATCAGCTTCCGACTCCTCCTGAACAGTCCCAAGCAGCCAGCTGCACAGGAACAACCACCAGTTTACTTGAGTGTCACTCAGCAACACTGGTCACGATTGGAAAGAAAATTAAAAAGAGAAAAAAAACCCTATTCATTTTAGTGTTCAATTTTTTTTATTATTGTTGTTCTTATTTAACCTTGTAAAATATCTATAAATACAAACCAGTTTCATTGTATTCTCACTTGAGGGAGATCCAGGGGTGGGAGGGGTTGTGGGGAGGGGGAAAGCGGAGCACTAGAACACACAGTCTCTCTCCCACGACAATCTTTTTTTATCAAAAGTCTGCTGTTGTATACTTTAAAAACAGGACTCCTGCCTCATGCCCCTTCCACAAAAGAAGAAGACTTTGTTCTGTGCTGAGGTTTTTTTGAACTTTGTTTTCTTTAAAGTCAAGTGTAAGACTTGGGTATAGTGCACAGCTTGAAATTGGTTGGGAGCTTAGCAGGTGTAACTCAATGGGGGCTTAAATGTCACTTGTAAAATTAATCCATATCCTCGGGTACTTGAAGACTTGCCTTTGGCTTGTCAATGGCAGGTGTGGCAGACAAAGGAAATGTGTGTCATTTGTAACCCGGGGGGTCAATAAAGTTTGAATCTATAAGGGGAAAATTCTTAATTGATGTCAAGGTTTTATTTTACTCTTATCAATGCTAGTGGTGAAGAAACTTCTGTAGGTAAAGAAACTTCTGAAGCTGTCAGGGGAGAAGCGTGTGTGCTCTTTGTGTGGGTCTTTGTTTGCCAGACCAAAGGTTCTCTATAAAACTTAGTACAGTTTTAATCTAGTGACCTAGGAGAAGAACGAGAAGGGTGTTGAGCCGGCCACTCTGGCTGCAGAGGTAAAAGCTGATGAACCTGGAAGAGGAGGATGGGCCGGGCAGATCTCACCACTGTGAATGAATTTGTCCAGATTTTTTTTTCTAAAGTTGCTTCCCTTGGAAAGATACACTTGAGAGGACATTGTAGTTAAATAATGTGAATTGTAACAGTCTACTGGTTTATTTTTCGTATTTTTTAATTGCAAATTGAGCTTGCAGAAATTGCTACATTCTGCATATAGTTCTAATTTTAACTCCAAATCCAGAATCTGTATTTAATTTCAGCTTTTTTAACCTCAAGCTTTTTAAATTATATTTATTGATGCATGTGAGATAGGCCATGATGATTTTAGATGGTAGGAATATTGAAAACTACACATCAAAATGATAAAAACAGTCACTTGTACCTGCTGACTTTATAGGAAAACTGATTATATAAATGTGTGTATATGTGTTATATACATAGATTCAGTACTGCCTTTTGTTTGGGGTTTTTTTGTTTTGTTCTGTCTTTCTGTTTTTGTCCACAATATCAAATTTGACTAGTTGAAGCATGAGGATGTTTCCCCCTACACCTAGTTAAGAGTTTTTGTTTTCTTCATATAATCAGTGAACAGTGTAAGACTCAGTCTCTGTTTTTGAAGAAAAAGCAATATTCCTTGGAAAGCAAGGAGATTTGAAGGATTACGTTGGCAGTGAGGAAATAGATTTTCACAGCTAGTTTGTTTTATATTTTTAAGGTTGACATCTATGTGGGCCTTATATACTCTAAAATGAACCTTAGACACCTTGGTGCTTATGGGCCATTACTTGACCTATGAATCTTTAAGGCACAATCAGTTGTACTTTACATTTAAAGATCACTTGAGTGATGGCCGCCTTTCCCGCCTACCTTCCTTCCTTCCCCACATACCTTTCCAAGGTTAGCTGATAACTGTAGGGCTGCAGAGCTGAGCCCCAGACTGTGTGTAACCTTTCACCCTCCTTGTTGTCACCTTAGGTCATGTTAGGGGCTTCGCCCGCCAGGTGATTTGGAAGTGGAGTCTCTTGGCAGCCCTCACGCAGGTCCCAGCACCCTGTCCTGCTTCTTAACCAAGTGTGTGTGACTCTCTCAGAGAGTCGTACTGCCTGCTGACGTGAACCAGTATCCAGAGAGGCATCTGTGAGCCATCCTAATTTTCACTGTCCAGCTAAGCTCTTTTAAGCCACAGAAGGGTTTCTCCAACCTCTGGTTATATCAGAGTTCGTGAGAAAGGAAACACACTCAGTCAAACCAAATCAAACAAATTGCATTTTACTTTTCATAATGAGCTTCTGAGATTAAATTAAGATTTGAAAGAAGTCTGAATCAAAATATTTGACAGCATAATTCTTAAAGGGAATGGTTTTGATAGACCATTTCAGAAAGGGTTTATAAAGAAGCTGGATGGCAGGTCTGTGACACAGAAGTGGACCTACTTTGAGACCAAACTACCCAGCCAAACATGTGGACACAGACACTACTCTGAACTTGGTATACTTGCTGGAGAACATAAAAATCCGTGCTTCTTTTAGGAAACACTTTCCCGCATAAATGGGGTAAGAGAAGAGAGAAAAGTCACATGTTTTTCTCTCATTTTAATTGTGTGTGTGTGTGAGGGCTGAGGTTTGTGATTTTTCTTTCTCAAGGATCATGGTGGGATCACAGAACTCTTTTATACAAGTGGGATCCAGGTCTCTGAATAATGTTTTTTGTAAATAATAATAATAAAAGCTCCTCACCAAATTCAAGCTTGTACATTATATTTTCTTTCAATGTTTTAAAATTTAAGTTCTATTGTTTTGTATGTAAATATGTGGACCCAGGAACTGTTATTAATGAGCAAAAAGTTACTGTTCAGGGCAGTGATTCTGTTTAATAATCAGACAAATTGTAGACGAGCTTTTTAAAGCCATATAGTTTTAACTCTGTACAGTAGGTACCGGCCTGTATTATTGTAACAATAACTCTAGCGATGTATAGTGTATCTATATAGTTTGGAGTGCCTTCGCTTCCATGTGTTTGTTTTCTTGTTTCTGTTCTTCATTTTGCAGATTTTAATTGGTCTGAATATCTATGTCTCCCTGTCCCACCCCCTTCCCTTTGAAGTAATGGCTCACTCATAACAGTGTCTTTGCCCCTTCCACAGTTACCATGCTCAGGAGTGGAAAGAGGAAACCATAATTATTTTCATAATCTCATTTCATTCAAGCCCTACCTTTGTTTTGGTTCTGAACATCTGTTTCCTCCTCAGTAGCAGTGACCAGTTCCATTTCATCCAGGGACTTAGTGTAGTGCCAGGGAGCCCTCGAGCAGGAGAATATGGAATAGAGTAGATTTTGCTCGTCTCTTCCCCCAAACCCTAACCATGGGTCTTACAAACAGCAGATTCCAGGAGCCTTCTGCCCTCTCTCTCTCTCTCTCTCAATTTCATCTACTTCCCTCCCAAATGAGAGAAAAAAGAGAGAGAGAATTGGTTTTTGTAAATCGATGTTTCTTAATACTTGTATCGGTTTTGATACACGAGTGGTCTAAAATGCTGTGGTGCAATTACTAGCGGCTGCTGCACGATTGCCGCCCACGGGCTGCTGCACGATTGCCGCCCACGCGGTGAGGACTGTTGTTTTCACAAGGGAACTTCCCTCCCTCCTGTCACCTCTACCCCTATTCAGTGAAATGTCATTTTAATTTATCTTTTAAAAAAATCTGTTTCTTACTGTGTGCCCATCATGAAGGCCTTTTTCAAAAGAAGAAAAAATCAAAATTACTTGTTTTGCCTCCAAGTACTCCATATAAGATGTCTCAAGTAGAAGAAAAAAAAAAAACTTTACCAAACCAAAGCTTGCTATTTTTGAAATATCATGTGTTCATTCCAGCAAGGCAGAAGACTGCACCTTCTTTCCAGCAACATGTTGTGTCCTTTTTTTTAAGTCCTCTTATTTTTAGACACATATTTTTATTTGTGTTTTCACGAAGCCTGCCTAACCAGTCATCTTGTCTGCACCAATGCAAAGGTTTCTAAGAGGACTGTTGTATTCTCTATCCCTGTGGATATAAAGACACTGGCATTTCATTTCTTTTTCCCTTTTCTTTTTAAGGGATTTAACTTTGGAATCTTCCAAAGGAAGTTTGGCCAATGCCAGATCCCCAGGAGCTTGGGGGTTTTTCTTTTGTTTTAAACCAAAATTGTATCTGATTTCTCGTTCATGTTAGTGACCATCTAATCACAGAGTCGAACACTTTCTCCCTTATATCCCTTATATATAAAAATTAAGTATGCTTTACAGTAAAATCTGTCTTTTCTGGTAGAAACCTGAGCCACTGAAAATAACTCGAAGCAGAGTAGAGCCCCAGACTACAGTCTGTTTCAGAGGCTTTGAAAGTCATCTCTGGGGTCTGGATTCTTTTCACAAGGGTTGTGACGTTTGATTCACGTTTGTTGCTCCATTTGCACCTCTGCAATAAAAGCAAAATGACAACCAGTACATAAGGGGTTAACTTGACAAAGTAGACTTCCTTGTGTTAATTTTTAAGTTTTTTTTTCTTACTATATCTGTCTACAGGCAGATACAGATAGATGTATGAAAATGTGCTTGCCTGTAAAATTTGCATTCATAAATGTGTTGCCGATGGATCACTTGGGCCTGTACACATACCAATTAGCGTGACCACTTCCATCTTAAAATCAAATCTAAAAAACAAAATTTATTATTATATATATATATATATAAAGGACTGTGGGTTGTATACAAACTATTGCAAACACTTGTGCAAATCTGTCTTGATATAAAGGAAAAGCAAAATCTGTATAACATTATTACTACTTGAATGCCTCTGTGACTGATTTTTTTTTTTTCATTTTAAATATAAACTTTTTTGTGAAAAGTATGCTCAATGTTTTTTTTCCCTTTCCCCATTCCCTTGTAAATACATTTCGTTCTATGTGACTTGGTTTGGAAATAGTTAACTGGTACTGTAATTTGCATTAAATAAAAAGTAGGTTAGCCTGGAAATGAAATTAAAATTCACAAGTGTGTGGTCTTTATTTCAGTACCCAACCTTATTTCCTGCACCCTATCTATTTTGCCAATGCATTATGTAGTCACATCACCACTTCATTCCTCCAATTAGAGAAACACGAAGCTGTTAACAAAAGTCAAGATATCAACACTAGTTCTCGTTCTCTTAAATGATCTTATTCCATTGTATAGCCCCAAGAGGTGCAGCTTCCATCTTGGAAACCTTTGGAGTTGATGTTGAGGAAGTGATGCAGACACTGCTTTGAAAAGAAAGAATACAAGCCTGAAAGGGACAAGTTTTTTAAAATGTGTATAAGCTGCTGTCTTTGATTCCTGTGTTCACGGTCTGGTGTAGCTGTTATTTTCTTTTAACTTTCATCCCGTTAGTAATGGTCTTTGGGAGGATCTGTGAATGATATGAACACCGCAAATGGTGGGGCTGTACTTCCCAGGTAAACCAACACATGCTGTGTTTGAGTCTGCTCATTTCCAATACTGGATGATGTATGTAAACATGTTATGTCTCTTAGTGCAAAAAGAAACATTTTTTTTTAGGGCTGGCTCACTCCGTCAGGCCTAATCTAAAGGCTAGATATAAAGTCATGTGACTGCTGCTTCAATAAAAACAAATTTATATTGGATAAAGTCTGGTCCTCTATTTATTGTGGTGGTGGGCTTGGCTAATATTTATAAAATAAACGCTTTTACCAGTTGCAGGGGTTTGGGGGGGAAGGCTGGGGGTCAGCACAAATACCCAAGATGTCGCTTGTGTAATGGGTTAAGGACTTTGAAGAAGTAGTGATGAACCCGTCCTTTGAGATCATATCTCAGGTGAGCAGTGACCCTGGGTGCCCATTGAGAAGGGTAGTTATGAAAGGGAACACTCAGGTTGCAACTCCCCTTTGTGGAGAAGTCTGAAGTGAACAAAAGCATTGGGGTGTTCACCCCTCTCTCAGGTGCAGGACTGTTTCACCCACTCACTAGCACCTTCAGGTTTCGGAGGGTTGCGGTTATGTTCAGGGGAAGACTGCAGCTGTTGTGGAAAATGATATGATGAAGCCCACGAGTTGTCACAGGCTGTGAAGGAATGGCCCATTAAGTGTATGTTTCTCTTAACATCTCTTTTCAGAAAAGAGAGGACACAATGGGCCTTCCCACGAGTTGTTGATATCCAGGTTTTAACTGGATCCTTAAAGTCCAGATCAGGTAGAGATTGGTGGCAGAGTGGCTCTGACTTAATGGAGCCAGAAGGTAAGCAGTAACTTACTTGGGCTTCTCTCCTGAGCTTTGGAGACTGACTCCATCCTCACCTGACTGAGGCAAGACCTAGAAAAAGAATGGGGGTCTCAGGGATGCCTAGAAACTGATGCTAAGTTCTATTGCTCAAGAGCTCAGGGAAGGGAGTAGCAGGGAAATTCAAACATTCGAGAGTAGAAAAGTTGACTTTGGCTCCTAGCCCTATAAACTGTACATTCACAAAGCTGCTGAAAGGAAGAATCTTGCGTGACCTCTTTGGTGCACCTAACCTTGAACCTTAACTGTGCTTGGACTACACTTAGTTTTTATAATATGTGTAATTCATACATACATATCAATTCAATGTTTGTGAAACTGCCTGGGTGTTTTTAAAATCAATACTGGGAGATGGGCATTTCTATATCCCACTTTAATCACCTTGCTCTTACCTTACCATAGTCTACACTTAACAACCATTTCAGACTCTTGAGTGAATAGCACACTCAAAATTATTTCAATGGGAAAGAAGAGGTGTACATGATACAGGAATATATTTATATTTCTAAATGAGTATAATTAGACACCGGGGGCAAAATCTGCAATGTGTTTGGGAAGAAGAACTCCTTTTCCCTCAGATTCTTTTCTAAAAGTTAGTGTGTTCTACATCCCCTTGATGCAGAAGAGGCTGGGGAATCTGGAGGGGTGACAGAGAATATGTTTGTTAGCTTTAATGTATAGTCTCAATGACTTAAGTTCTCAAAGTGTGACCTTCTTGAAAAATGGTAAAAGTGAATATCTGTTCCTTAAAATTCAGTTAACTTGTAGCTTCATTTGCATAAAAATATTAGTCATTTAAAATTACTACATTTTGAATGATATGTAAAATTTTTATATGGAATAATTATTTTTATGAACAAGCCAAGTTAATGCATTTTTTATGTTCTCACACCAACAGTCTTCAGATATGTAAAGGGCAATAGTAAAGTATGTATTGTAAAAACAGAAATATATACAAATATATTTCTCTTTCACCATCCCCACATTTCTTTTTCCCCCAGAAAGGAAGGCCAAAAAAGTTTAAGTCTCTAACCAAAAGTTAATTATTTAAGTCCTCTTGCCTTGATTTGACATTAACCATAGGATCATATGTGATAAGACTGGTTCTTAGGTATGGGATGCCCTATGTAAAGTTCATGAAAATGTAATTTGCGAAAAATGCAGAAACATTTTTACTCAAAATGGTTATAAAGCAGAGGCTCTCATACTCTAGCTTTGAAAACATGTGTAAAAAGGAACACATTTATTAACTGCTGTCCATATAGCCTCATCACGGAGTCCTCAGTGTTCCAGTCTCAGGAGGAACCAGCCCCAGTTTGGTTGTGAAGCTGACCTGCATCAAGTCACACACCCCCATCAAGGTCAGGATCCATGTCTGAGTCAGCGTGTACTCCCCACAGCAGGGTGCATATTGTCAGTGTGTAATGATGTGTTTTCATGAATGGAAACAGAATGAGGGGAGAATACGCAGAAGAGGTTATGACAACCTTGTGACAGTGCAGGCCTTCTGGCCTCTCTCTAAAGGACTCCCTCAACTCTAATGCACCTGCATTAGCGGACACAGGCCTGGAACTCACAGAGCAACTTGGGACTGGAGGTTGTGGGTTGGGAATGGCTGGCAAGTGGGAGAGGGTGGGGTAGCAGATGAAGCAGTGAAAAAAACCCAAGAAGCTAATGAAGTTGGGTGTGGGCACAGACCCTCAGATGCCCCAGCCCCAGGCATCCTATCCTCTCTCCCACCGTGACACTAGATGCCCAGACCCAGGGCCTCTTCTAAGGGGAGAGGGGTGCGTTGCCTCTCTAAGGGCCTGACCTAGGGGCCAGCACAGTCTCCATGTAAGGCACTTGGGCTCGGCTCTCCCCAGACCGAGCTGGGGACTGAGGAATGCTAGCCCGCCATCATCGCGGCTGTCTCTGTGAGACCCCTGGGGAAGCAGGACCTGTCCGGCACTGTCGGCGTCCATCTGCCCTGGGGCGGCCAGTCAGCCATTTGTGGTGCTGAAGAGCTCCTGCATGAGTGGGGTGGCGAAGGGGTGAACGTCATGGATGCGCAGCAGCTGTTGGGTGTGCTCGGCACTGAGGCTGCGGAGCTCGGTGAGTATGGCCATGATCTTCAGGAACAAGAACCTGCCGGCCAGTCGGGAATAGTTGGCGGTACAGCCCGCCCTGCCCCCACCCCCCAAAGCTGGAGCCCCTCTGAAATTGCACACGTTTGAGGGTTTTCATCTCAGGACCTCTCAGGTAAGCCAAGAGACAAGGCTCGGCTGAATTCTTTAAGCTTCCACAGTGTCTGTGGACAAGGGGGCAGAGCAGCCTGGCACCCTTGAGGTGTGGACCACTCTCCCCACCCACATCTCCTCCTCCAGGCTTGAGTCTCCGCACCAGGGACATCGTGGGGAAACCAGGCATTCCAGACACTGCATGAACCTCACTGCCATGGCTAATGAACGGGCGCCAGGACCAAGGGGAGAAGCTATGGAGGCGGGGGCTGCAGGCAGCAATCCCCCCCCTGCATCTAGCCTGGGATCCAGCGTCTGAGACACACCTCATGCCTCAGGTTCCCCACGATGCCTCCCGGCTCCATACAGGGGAGGACTGGGCAAAGCAAGACATCCAGCATCCCATGAAGCCAAGCTCAAGAGCCAGCTGCAGCAGGCCCAGCAAGGACCCGAGGTTTGACGTTCGCACAGGCACACCCAGCGCTGGCCTTCCCTGGTCACAGCCCAGGCCTGGTGCCAGGTCACAAGGGCTGCTGGGGCCCAGGGAATGGAGTGGGAGCCCCTGCCTGGCCAAGCCCTGAACAAGCAGCCCTCCTCCCTTGGGTGACCAGGACCAAGGAGTTTCCTCCCCTGTTACCTGGAGTTTGTCCTGGGAGGTGGTTAGGCAGTTAGTGCTCCAGGGTGTGGGCTGTAGACTTGGCCGGCAAGGACCTACCTCCGACCCCACCTGTCTGGCTGTGGGCCCCGGGGTCAGCCGCCCTGAGCCTCCAGTCCCTGGCAGGATATGGTAGCACTTGCCGCATGGGACTGTTTTCAGGATTAAATATGATGTGCACGTAAACTGCTTGGCACCAGGGCTGGCTCTTCTCAACAAATACTAGTTCTAGTTGACTCTATAGGAGACCTCAGTGAAGGCCACAAAACAGGGCCCTAAAGCCCTGGTAGTCAGAGGCTGCCACAGGACAATCAGGGCCCTGGGGGCAAGGCTCACACCCCCTCGCCCCCTCCCGGCTTGCTGCTCACCTGTGGGCGGGCTGGGGCCGGTTGAATTCGATGTAGGCCTTCAGGGTCATGGCGAACCGTTCCTGCAGCTGGTCTACCACGAGGCGCTGCACCACACCTGGACGGTCTGGTGAGGAGGGAAAGGCCACAGGGGCCAAGAGAAGCTTGGTCCAGCCCAGAGGGGACAAATGACTAGCCAACCACCTTCCAGAGAGCCAAGGATTCCCAGGCAAGGAAGTGAAGGGGTTGCTACCCTGAGAGCAAACAGCTGGAGTCCCCATCCTGGCTGAGCAGTGAGTGGAGGGCAAGGCCATCAGTCAGGAAACTTCCCTGGGGAAAGCAAAGGAAGGAATGCTGCCCCTGCCCTTGGCTGAAGCTGACGGGGTGTGAGCAAGCCTAGGGAAACAAGGGAGGGGCAAGGGGAGGCCAGGCAAGGCAGGTGGGGCTCTCACCTGGAGAGAAAAGGGAGATGGCCTGCATAAGCACATACTCCTCCTTATGCAGCTGCAACTTCTTCAGCATATAGTGGAATTTTAGCACGGGCTCCAGGAGAAGTTGCTGGAAGCCACCTGTGGGTGGGTGCAGGCTGGAGGGGTCCACTTCTCAGGAAGCTGACCCAGGACCCAGATCTCCCTCACCAAGGCCCCCTTTCCCATGGCCCGATCTCCTGCACTGCGGTCCCAGGACCCGCGGATCCTGGTGTGGCTCCTCTCCTCCCTCCACAGTTGTTTTCCCACCCTCTGCCAGGACAGACAGGCATCTCTCGGGCACCTGCAGGGTCTTCCACACAGTAGGACAGCCGACCACACTCCCAGGTCCTGGTCTCTGCGTTGAACACCGTGTTGAATCTCAGCTGGCACAACTCAAAGGCGGCCCCCTTCAGCAGGGAGATCTGGTCCTCTATGGGCAGCTCCCTGGCAGCAAGGATAAGGAGGGAATGCCAGCTTCCAAGGAAGAGGCCACCGGCCAGCACCCACTCTAATAATCCTGAATCAGGGTGGGGGTGGTGAAGGGAAGAGGTAGGATGGGCTCCTGCCCCTGAGCACGATTGCAGTAGCCTTTGAATTGCCTCCACTCTCTCCCCCTCACAATCCAGCAAGCAGAGTCCTCCTCACTGCCATCTTCCTCTGGGCCCCTGCCACCTTCAGGGACTCTCCACTGCTGATGTGGCTGGGTGTCTGGGCCCCTTACAGCCCAGCCCCATCTCCTCCAGCTCCCTGCACAGCCTGGGCTCCTGGTCTCCGGTCCGGCCTTATACTTTCTGCCTAGGTTTCCCCATTTGGAATGATTACAACTTTGAAGTGAAGTGAAGTGTTTTAGTCGCTCAGTCATGTCTCTTTTGCAACCCCATAGACTGTAGCCCACCAGGCTCCTCTGTTGATGGAATTCTCCAGGTAAGAATACTGGAGTGGGTAGTCATTCCCTTCTCCAGGGGATCCTCCAGATCCAGGGATCGAACACAGGTCTCCTGCACTGTAGGCAGATTCTTTACCGCTGAGCCACCAGGGAAGACCTTTAGCTTCACTTACGTAAATCCTGCTAGTCCTTCAGGCCGAGCAGTCCTATGCCTCCTAGAGGTCTTTCCGGAGTGCAGCCCTTCTGCAGGCGCCAGTCCTCCGCGTGAGTGCCATGCAGCGGGGCAGTCTGCTTCCTGCTGTCTATTTTGAATTAGCCATGTCTACTGTTCCTCTCCAGGCAGACTGAGTGCCCTGAACCCCAACCCCAGCACAGCACAGGCCCAGCCACAGTGGCTGCTTCTATTCACTGTGTTAGATTAACACAGTGACTTCCTACCTGGGTGCTGTGCTTAACCACTCAATCATGTCTGACTCTTTGCGACCCCATGGACTATAGCCCACCAGGCCCCTCTGTCCATGGGGATTCCCCAGGCAAAAATACTGGAGTGGGTTTCCATGCCCTCCTCCAGGGGATCTTCCCAACCCAGGGATCGAACCCGCATTACAGGTAGATTCTTTACCATCTGAGCCACCAGGGAAGTACTCCCTACCTGAAAGCGCTCCCCACCCCCACCCCCACTGATGGAGGGATTCTACCTAAAAGCCCAGAAGGGAGTTCTTGAGGAGGACCTGTGCCTGGCTTTGGTCTCCTCAGGAGTTTAGCCTCTTCTTTTAGATCTGCAAGGTTGAGCCACAAATGCCACAAAGTTGATCTTTTCCTGCTGTGTCCCCCCAGTGCCCCGCCCAGGACCCGGCAGGGGGCCTCCGAAGCTGGCTTCTCGGATTACCTGAGATCCTGTGCACCTGCCTGGACCTCAGTGAACCTGTTTTCTATCTGTGGAGTGAAGCTGAGAGTAACGCCTGCTTCCTGGGGTGGTTGTGCTCAAAGCTGATCGTCACAAGAAATGAGTGCCCTCCCACCCTGGCGCTAAGTCCTGGGTCATCGGACGGTCAAGGGGGATCTACTGTGTCCACGGGTGAAAGTGGGTCCCTCTCCCTGCTCCCTGACCTAATTTGCCACAATCTGAACCCCACTCCAGCCTGTGACCACCCTCACTCCAGTAAATAAGTCCTGCATGTCACCAACGGGGAACCCGTGGGCTCCTGGAAAAGAACCTGCCCTCTGCCAGTGGATGGAGTCAGGGCTCCTTGTGTGATTCAGTTCTACCTGCCCAGGCCCGGCCTGGTGGCCCTAACCCCAGGGAAGACACGCCCCGTGCTCCTCACACTGTGAGAGGCTCCCTGTTGTGGGGCTGTGGTCGCCACCACACCAGTAGGGTCCAGAGTCTCCCAGTCAACCCGGTTGCCCAGTGGTTGGTGGTGCCTACATGCCTAGTAGGGAGTCCCGGCCCATTGTCCTCCTTCTCAGCCTTCTCTAGCGGTGGACTGCTGGTGACACAGCATCTGTTCCTAGCCCTCTTCTCTCTATGGGCCTTCTCCCTTTTCCTTCCAACTCATCCATTGCTCTTGAACTATCAACTTGTGACTCCCACCCCTTGGCAGGAAAATGGGGATGGGGCATCACTCTCTGAACATCCACATATATGTGCTGAAAGCTCTTCCAGAGGTTTTCTTATTTCACACAAAAGCCCTGCAAGGCAGGCATCATTAGCCCCAGTCTAGCAGATGAGGCAGCTGAGCCACAGGTTAAATGGCACACCACAGTCACAAAGCTAATGAGCCACAGAGACAGCGAGGGCTCCACTCCCCCACACGACCAGGTACCCTGGGGGCAGAGGTAAAGGAGTGTCTTTTGGCACCAGCGTCCTCCAAATTCAGAGAAATCTACCCCAGACGCTCTGAATCTGCTCCTTTCCACACCGTCCACCCAGCCCCTGTGTCCTACCTGAAATAGGAGATGACCTTGGCAAAGTTGATGATGCCTTTGAACATGTAGGTGGACACGTCAGCTATGTGGGGCAACAGGGAAAAGATCTCTTTCCCGCCATTGTCGGCTGGGGGCTTGTAGTTCCAGACGCTGCCGTCTTCCCCCCGCAGCTGCAAGGAGAGCTTCACTGAACACAGATCTTCCCTGATCTTCCTCCACTTGGCAGCTTCTTCCCTGGACTGAATCTGCAGAGGCTCTGGAATCTGGCGGCCACTGCCGAGCACATCTGGCAGCTGGGGCATGAGCCGGAAGTGGGAGAGAAGAGAGAGGAGACAGAATATATTCTCCCAAACAGGAATTTTCTCTGTTCCCAGACAGGCACACACAACCACAGCTGCTCCCTGAGAGGATGCACAGAGGCAGGCCTGTACAACCCCCACCCCACCCCCACACACAGAGCACTGGTTTCTTCTCTTCTCTCTGGAGGATCTCTGACTTCACGGTCCCTCACATTCCTGCCTGGTCAGAGATGGGTTAGCTTCCTGCTTTGGTGGAAGGTGAGGGGGCCTCCATTGAGGCGTGTGTCCCAAGCGTCCCTGAACTTGCACTCAGGAAACTCAGGAAAGGATCTGGGAGCTGGCGATGGAAAGAACAGACTTTGGGGGCCGCTGGCTACGTTCTCTGAGCTGGATGGGTCACAAGATACCTGTGGACACAGGTGAAAGAGGGCACTAGGATCAGACAACGCTGCCAGGGCTGAGGGCACTGAAGTTTCCTCGATCAGTAAAACCAGTTCACAAACGTCATGCCCACTCTGCATCCTCATAAAACCCTGAATGCCAGCAACCCTGGGGCAACTCAGCTGTCCATAACTCCATTTCTGACTCAGACTCCATTTCTACAGGCTGTGGAAGGAGAGAACAGTGTCTCAGACCTGAGCATAAGTTAGAATCACCTGAGGGGTCTTATAGCACAGACTGCTGGGCCCTGCCCTCAAAGGTTCTGATTCAGGGGTGAACTGAGAATCTGCATTCCTAACAAGTTCCCAGGTGCCGCTGCTGCTCCTGAAAGTCCAGGGGCCACTCTTCGAGAATCCCTGGGAATGAGATTGGGGTCCTGAGGAGCGAGCACAGGAGCTGAGCCATCTCAAAAGCCTCATACCCGGAAATTCTTGAAATGAATGAAGGTGCTATCAAAGGTGTTCATCTGAGCAGTCGTCAGCTCCCTGATCATCATTTGCTGCTCTTCAGTCAGACCCTTGGCTCCAGGGGGCTGAGTTTCAATCCGTTCTCTCTTCTTCCTCCTGATCAAGGCCCGTCTCTGCTCCACAGCCGCATCAGACATGATCACTGCAAGGACAGTCAGGAGCAGACTCAGGCAGCAGCAGGGGATGGGGACAGACTGGTGACAAGAATCCTGCCCTTTTCCAGACTCTCAGGACTCTGGACTCCTCTGGAGAAACACTTTGGGAGAAGGACAGGTGTGCTGCCTGTGACCGTGGGGTTCAAGACAACTCCGTGGAACAGTGGGAATTGCTGCAGCTTCTGGATCTTAAGGCAATGGGTTTCAATGATGGCCTTGCCACTCTGTAGTGGTGACCTTGATGGGCTTCTTCATCTCTCTTTCCTTCGTGGTAAGCTGGAGTGACAGTGCTCACCTCACACTGCTCTTAGGATGAGGCACTGCATGGGAAGTGCCTAATATAACTGCTGCTATGTAATAGTTGTTTCATAAATGCACCCAATTATTTTTTTCTGGTGTATCAGATACCATTAAGACTCCTGAGAGTCCCTCAGGATCTCTGGGTCTCGGAGAACTGGGCTACTGCTTAGCAAGACGTATCTTCTCTAGCCACTTCCTATGTAGCCTGGGGCTTTAAGGTCATCTGTGAATTCATGGAGCCCACTTGTGTGTGCAGAGCAAAGCTCTGGGGGAGGGGGTCCTGGTGGGGAGGGGACAACAGGCACAGCTGGTCTGCAGGAAAGGCTCTCTGCCAATGCCCAGGGAACCTGGCCCTTTAAAGGCTGCCCAAGGTCTCATGTCCCTCTGTGACTGAGGGAGAGAAATACACCTTGGAAGCTTCCACCCTTTTCCCATGCTCTTTTATCTCAGAGCCCCTGGGAGCACAATTATACCAAAGCTGGACAGGGGAAATGAGAACCCTTCTGCCATTGGTTGCACACAATTCCTTGAGGATGCTAGGTCTGGGCCACTGGTAGAAGGTGCAGGTCATAGCACACCATGAGTCTTCAGCTTCTCTTTCCCAATTCACCTCCCTTAATTTACTAAAACACCTAGGAAGGGCACAAAACCAATCATGCAAGCGCAACTGAGGGGAGAGTGGAGGACGACCCTGGCCAGAGAGAATCAGGCCTCCAAGAACAAAGAATGCAGAAAACACTCCACTTCTCCAGTCCCTCCAGGATAGGTAGGGGTCCTCAGGTTGACGTCTGCCCGTGTGTGCACGCATACACGCATGCTCTCGTGCACACCGTGGCTCACACGCCCACGCCCGCTCCCGCAGCCTTTGCTCACTCTCCTTCCTCATGCCGCTCTCCAGGCACTTGCGAAGGCGGCAGGCCTGGCATTGGCGCCGGGTCTTCTGGGTGATCTCACAGGTGCCCTTCCGGAAGGGGCACCGGGGCCGGGCATTGCGTTTCATGGCCCTCCTGCAAGAGGACAGAGAGCAGAAGATAGGCCGCGTTGTTCACCCTGGATTCCTGTCCGTCCCTGACACGGACACTGGTCACACCCTCTGCGGGCTCTGCCTTTGCCTCTGAGTTGGGTGGGCTTCATAGGAAAGGTACAGACCAGGGCTCTTCAGGCTTCTGTGGGTGCCCAGAGGCCTCCGAGCCTGCTGGAGGAGGGGAGCCAGGTACTAGACTGTCCCCAGCATCCACGCGGGAGGTAGACGCTGCTCAGGGCCTGCACCGGAGCTGCGTCGTGGGATGCTTCAGCACCCTGAGGCCCGCTCCCTCTCCCCTTCTTCTTCCTAACCCCCAGGAACCCCAGGAGAACTGGGCCAAGTTTCTGTGGAGGTGGCTTCTTCCTGGATTTCTCCTTGGAAGAGGGAACTGGAGGAAATCTGGCCCCAGGAGTTTAAGAAACATAAGCCTCCTGCCTTCCCCAGCCCCATTCTAGATTGGGAGGCCAGAGAATCGGGTACACTACGGGAAACTTTCTACCTCCCTGGAAAAAGGCCTCCCCTTGCTAACTGCCGCAGGGGAACAGAGGAGCTCAGAGCCCCATATTAGTGGAGTATATGGGTGCTGCATCCACATGTCCCCATACAGCTGCACCAGATGGGAGACAAGGTGGTAAATTCCTTCTAGAGACCCCAGCACACACACACCCTCCCCCACAGCCCAGCCATCCTGCACTTCGCCAGAAGACCCAGTCAGTGGGGCCCTATATCCCCCTGCCCCCAATTTTCACAGCTGAATAGATGGAAACAAATTCTCCTTTGGAATCTGGCTTCTGGCTCTGGTCCAGCAGTGTGAAAAATGAAGAATGGACTGTGGCTACTGAGTGGGCCATGGGTGCTGATCCGGGAGACCTGAGGCCAGGAGCCAGACGGCCAGGGGATGTATTTCTCAGGCCCCACCCGCTCCCCTGCTGGGTAAGAGACCCCTGGGTGACTGGGGGAAGGAGCCCACATTTATCAGCCATACTGTGGATTGGATGCAGGGCTACAGATTGTGCAGAGCTTTACAAACTTAGTTCTTAGAACCCTACGAAATTCATTTGGTCATCTGCCTGGCACAGATGAGGAAATGGAGTCCATGAGAAGAAACAGCACTCGCTGTCCTCGAGGTAGAGGACAGGCTGAAGTTTGAATTCAGGTCTGCCTGATACCAGGATCCAAGCTCTGACCCCTACCGCTAGCCACAGGGAGAATCCAGGTCTGGCTCGGGTGTCCTTCCTGCTCTGTGCGGCCTCATGGGTGGACGCCCAGCTCAGGGATCTGTCTGGAGCTCCTTGCTAGTGACCAGCTCTAGAGTTGGCTGGGGCCCTGATCTAGGTGATGTGAATTGAAGGGTCTTCTGGGGAAGATTTCTTTGCTCTTAGAGGACAAGAGGGGCCTTTCTATTCCTCAGCTGAGCCCTGCGGCTCCCAGTCTGAACCCCTGGCACTTTGCTGCCCTCAGTGGAGCAGGCAGGGTAGGCACTCTCTGATGGCAGAAGAGGAAAAAGATTTGACTGCTGGGCTCACCAACCCCTGGAAGGCCTCAGACTTCTAGACTGTGAGAGGTGACATGTTCTCCTTGTTGTTCAACACCGTGAGTGGAGACTTGTTGCTTGTAGCTGAGCACAGGCTGACAGTGACCCACACAGATGTCCATTTCTCCCTGGAACATGAGAGCTTCCTGAGCTGACCTAACCCCTGGGGCCTCAAACGTGACCACATCAGCTCCTAAACCGGGGTTTCTTCACTCTGGGCGGGAGTGGGGTTGGGGTGGGTGGGTCCTGGGCCGCTGCAGTACATTACTGGGCTCCTCCTGGCCTGGACACCCCATTCTCAGAGAGAACTGGAAAGGCTGAGTAGAAAACCTGTTTTCAATTGAGTAGATAAGCAGATGAGGAGAGAGAGAGGAGCCAGGCTCACGAAGCAGAGAGAGAATACCCAGGTCCCAGTCAAGCCCATTACTGGGCTCCCTCCCGCACCCAACTGACTGGTGGCCCAGCTTTGACGGGACTGCAAGCTGGACCTTGGTGCTGGGGTCCATTTCTGTTTAAATGTCCAGTCATCAGGAGGAACTCTGCAGAGGTCAAGTCAGCTGACTGTCCTCAGAATGCACGAGGGGCCCAAGTGTGCCCCCGCAGGGCGAGCTGCCCTCCCTCCTCTCCTGGCCGGCTTCTTTTCCTCATGGTCTGAGCCTGCACCGAGCAGTGTCATTGTTCTTTCTTCAGCTGAACAACGTGACCCTTCTGTTCGGGCCTGTCTTGCTGTGAGCTGGGACTTTTCAGTCCTTAATATTTTGGATCTCTGTTTCTAGGTGAGCTGGTGTGTCATATTCTTCACTTATTTTATGCCATTCTTTACTTAACACTGCTCCTTAAGAGTGACTTGAACTCTTGAATTTTGTGGATTTTCAAATTCTTTCTCCTCTTTTATGGACTCATTTGCTGTATTTGCTATTTTATTCAAGAGTACATGGAGAAACAAAGGGAGATCTTAATGGAAAGGGGCCTTTCCTGAGTAGAGTGGGAAAATAGGAGATGAAGATTTCCTCTCAGATGTTAATGGTTCTCCTGAGACTAATTAGGAGGGCTTTGGATGGGCCATCAGCCCATACTCTGAGCCTGGGCCTCTGAAGCTGAGGCCCTGAGATGGTGCCCAGGGAACTAATGGCAGAGCCCCAGTTAGATGTGACCCACTTTGTCAGAGGTAGCAGGTGGGTGAAAAGTTGACAGGTAACTCTACCTGAAAAAGCCCTTGCATCCTTCACATGTCATGACATTGAAGTGATAACCAGTGGCCTTGTCCCCACATACACGGCAAATCTGGGGACCCTCTTCTTCCTCGTCTGCACCAATGATGGGATTTGTAGATGCAGAGTCAGCTTCATGCACGAGACCAGCATGGCTCCACTTCTCCTCACGGCCCACCTCCAGCTTTGCTTCTGAGCCTCTTGCACTAGGAGTGAAAACACCACAGGGAATGAGAACCCTGGCCAGGGTGTGCTGAGGCAGCCGCAGTGTGCATCACTCATGTTTGGTTTTGTGGACACAAGAGCTGACTTTCCATAGAAGAAATGGGGGTAGAGGACTAGAATTAGAGAGAAAGTTGTTACCATGATATTTGTGTTCAGTAATAAGGCCCTGGAGTAAAACACATGGACAAAGAACATGGGAGAGAGAAAAGTTAGAGGAAGAAATGAGAAGGAAAAAGAAAGGAATATCTGGGTTGGACCAAAGAAGTAATACTTGGATAGACTCAGATTAGGAGGCCATGAGCTGGTCACAGGCCTGAACATGGGGCTGTCCATGGGACAGGACACTTGTTCTGGAATTGAGGAGACCCAGATAGCTGGCCCCTCAGGTGTATTGTGGCCCAGACTCCCAGAGAGAACTGGAAAGGCTGAGCAGAAAACCTGTTTTCAATTGAGTAAATAAGCAGATGAAGAGAGAGAGAGGAGCCAGGCTCATGACGCAGAGAGAGTACCCAGGCCCCAGTCAAGCTGAGGGGTAAATGAGTAATCAAAGAACTCGTACCCGTTCATAGAGCTGTACTCTAGATGTCATCCCCAGGCAACTTTCCCCTGGAGGGCGTGACTTGAATTCTACTTGGGAGTAGGCATAGAGGACAGTGGGCAGACACTGGAAACTGTCCTATTCACTATTCTTCCCCAAAGTCTCTCTAGGCCACCACACTACAGATGATATTGCTTTTTCTAAAAGCAAAATAAAACTTCTAGTAAAACTTCAACACACAAATTTCTGTTTTTAACAGCATAACAGATGAGAGCTGACCATTTCACATATAAGAATGAATTAGAAATGAATCTGTTCCATGACCCTGACCCTCAAAACTGCAAATAAAATAGACTGACTGGAAACTTGAACTGACCAGGTATGTGGAAATTTTCTCTGATTTTTTGAATTATAATTCTGACCTCATACAGGCTTATAGAAAAAAATGTATACTTTGCGTGTCCAGAAAAGCCACAAAGAATTTGATTTAAAGTGATTGTAGGTTGTTAGTGCTCCCAGACATCCACAGAAGCAGAATTAATCCTCCCCACCCCCCACTCCACCCTGTAGAGAAACTCACCTTCCACCTCGACACAAAGAATCACACAAGTAATTTTCAAGGAATATGAGCAAAAACTCATAATCATGAATAAAAAACTAACATGGCACCATGAGCAGGAGACAGTGAAAACAACTTACAACAGGATTAGACCTGCAAAGACCCCCTGAATTATCAAGCAAAGAAAGTTTACATAAATAGTAGAAGAGGCTGACAATCAAAGAAAGAGAAAAAGCCTATGAAACTGACCAATCAGATTTGTAAAATGAATAAAAATTGACCACAAAATCTGAACAAACAACTATATAAACCAATGATAACAATGCTTGGAAGTTAAAAAGAAAAGCAAAACACAACTAAAATATGCAAAAACATGTAAGTCAGAAGATGGAAGTACATATACACAATGGAATATTACTCAGCCATTAAAAAGAATACATTTGAATCAGTTCTAATGAGGTGGATGAAACTGGAGCCCATTATACAGAGCGAAGTAAGTCAGAAAGAAAAACACCAATACAATATATTAACACATATATATGGAATTTAGAAAGGTGGTAACGATAACCCCACATATGAGACAGCAAAAGAGACACAGATGTATAGAACAGTCTTTTGGACCCTGTGGGAGAGGGCGAGGGTGGGATGGTTTGGGAGAATGGCATTGAAACATGTATATTATCATATGTGAAAAGGATCGCCAATCCAGGTTCGATGCATGAGACAGGGTGCTCGGGGCTGGTGCACTGGGATGACCCAGAGGGATGGGATGGGGAGGGAGGTAGGAGGGGTGTTCAGGATGGGGAACACATGTACACCTGTGGCGGATCCATGTCAATGTATGGCAAAACCACTACAATATTGCAAAGTAATTAGCCTCCAATTAAAATAAATAAATACATGTTTTTTTAAAAAAGAAGATGGATGATTACAATGAAAGTTTTCTAAGGTTCAATATTGTTGAGGGATGAGAAAGATAATAAATCAGATTTTATTGAAAATGTTTTATTGGCCTTTTGGATAGAAACGGGAATTTATTTGCCAAAAAATATGGAACGCTTCATGGATTTGCATGTCATCCTTGTGCAGGGGCCATGCTAATCTTCTCTGTATCGTTCCAATTTTAGTATATGTGCTGCCGAAGCAAGCACGATAAATCAGATTTTAATTAGTAAAGTGTGCCTGTTAATATTTCTGAAGTTTTTTTAGTCACTCAATCATGTCCAACTCTTTGCGACTCCGTAGACTGTAGCCCACCAAGCTCCTCTGTCCTAGGAATTCTCCAAGCATGAATACTGGAGCAGGTAGCCATTCCCTTCTCCAGGGGATCTTCCCAACCCAGGGACTGAACCTGCATCTCCTGCATAAGACTTCTAGGAAACCACTAAAAGTCTGGAAATAGAATGCATAGCTTAAAAGCTTGTAGAAAGGAAAAAATGGAAGAATAAAGAAAAGTCCAACCATAGAGAGAAGAGATACTGAAATAGCATGATGGAAAGAGCAAATATGTTGATAATTAAATGTAAATGCAGTTGATCCTTGAATAGCACAAGTTTGAATTGAGTGGTCCACTTGTATGGAGATTTTTTTAGGTAAATGTAACAGAAAAATTTTTGGAGATGTGTGGCAATTTGAAAAATTCTTAAGATGAACCACATAGCTTAGAAATATTGAAAAAATTATAGGTATCTCCTGAACACATAAAAATGTGTAGATATTAGTCTTCCTTACATAGGCATAAGATGAGAGGTATTTAATATAAAATCAATAATGTGTTAGTTTTCTTACTGTTTTATAATTTTGTTTACATTACCGTACAGTTTGCCTCTCTTGTAATTGAAAAAATTGTGTATCTTGTCATCATAGGTACTTTTTTTTAATGTCACAGTGTTTTCAATAGTATGTTTGCCATAAAAACCAAATGATGATTCATTTAGTGTATAGTCCAGGCTCTGTGAAACAACCCTTTCACTTGCATTAGACTACCATAAACCAATTGTATTGCTATTTCTTACTTATCAATGCATGAATCATTATACCTATAAATAAATATGATTTCTTTTTCACATTATCTTTTCATTTTTATATCTACTGTTAGTAATATGTATAACATCTATATCATAATGATGTAGGTACTGATCAATAATTCATCTTGTAAGCAGATGATGGGAACTTACAGTATCCATACAGTATAGTGCCATAAATTTATTTTCTCTTATGATTTTATTAATAACATTTTCTTTTCTTTAGTCTACATTATTGTGAGATACTTTATTGTAAGACTGATACATATAACATATAAAACATGTGTTAATTGACTGTTGTTATTGTTAAGTCTTCTAGTCAACAGCAGACTCAGTAATGCAGTTGTGGGGGAGTCTAAAGTTATAAACGGATTTTTGACTGTGCAGGTCAGTGCCCCTAACCCCCATGTTGTTCAGGGGGTGTACTGTATATTAAACATTCTCATTAAAAGAAACAAATGGTTTCAACAGATACCTGGGGCTACCTAAGGTTCAGGATTGGTACTAGAGAATAAGGGATGGTGATGGATATTAACTGCACTGACTGTGGTGATCATTTCACAATATGTATAAGTACAGAATTATTACATTCTACATCTGAAACTAGTGTAAACTTATGTCAGTTATACCTCGATAAACACATATACATACATAATTTTTTAAAGAGATGAGGCAGAAAGATACTAAAATCATTACTAAGAATTCTTGAAACTCAGTGCTCTAGGTCCTTTGCAAAAGATAACTCTAGGTCCTTTGCAAAAGATAACTCATTTAGTCATCAAAACAGTTATCACAACAGCAAACGTGTTGAGGATCTTCCACACACCAGATCCTCTGTTATGTTAGTCTTTTTTCAGATGCTCCAGAAGCTGAAAGTCACTCTTTTGGCAGAACTCCAGGGTCTGCTATGAGACCCTCTAACTGCTCCTCAGATGCAAAAAGTGTTCCCAAATTAAAGAGCTTTACAGGAAGGGAAAATTTTGTAAGTAAGATATTGGAGGAGGTTTTCAGCTTCATTCAGGAGCCATTAGGCATAACAGAACTTGGGGCGGTGGAGACTGTGGCAGGCATCCTGCACATAAATTAGCACCTTTGGACAGTAGGAGACTGAGGTGGCCGTCCCTCAGCCATTGGTATAAGTGCCCTTCCCAAGAAGGGGACAATGCATGTGTCACAACAGAAGCTCAGTAGATACACATCAAGAGGATGAAAGAAATGTTTCCAAAAGGACAGAGGAGAGAGATACACTTAATCTGTGTCTGATTACTGCATTCCCCAATTCCCTAATGAGGTGACATTAGAATTAACACCAGGATCTCACTCCATAGTACTTTTGGTGTAACTTTTGCTTTGTTTGACCCAAGTTAAATAAGCAGATCTAGTATATTCTGTAGTTCATTCTCTCATATTCTCATAAAGCCCTGTTTAGAGCACCTGTAACAGGTGTTCTCCAAAGATGGTCCCCAATAAAACACACCTCTCACTTTCATACCCTGGTATAATCCCTCTCAGGATGAACCAGGGATGGTCTGTGACTTGCTTAAACCAATAAGAATATGAGGAAGTGACACAGTGCCAGTTCTGGGCCTAAGTCATAGGAAGGTCTGGCTGCCTCTGGTTTTGCCTTTGGAGAGCTTTAACCACCATGCTGCCACACACTGAGTCCACATGAAGAGGGATGACCATCTGGGATGACCCGGATGATGAAGGCCCATTGCCCCTCCTGCCAGCTGTCCCCACCCCTCCTGCCAGCTGTCCCCTTCAGGCTCTGGGCATGTGAGTGAGCAGTCTCAGATGTCCCAGCACAGCTTAATGTCCACCTGTGTCATGTAGAGTGGAAGAACTCCCAGCAGAGCCCCGTCAAAGCACAGTAGCACGACAGAAAGTGAAATGGTGGTTGGTTTAATTGGTAAGTTTGGGGGAGGTTTGTCACTTGGCAAGAGATTATGGAAGCAGGTCTCCTGGAGCTTTGTTAGATGTAGATCTGAACTGGGGTGGACAGGGTGCCAGCTGACACCCCCAAACTTCCTATTCCACTCTTACGTCAGTCCTCCTTACAGAATGACACTGTGTGGACAGGAAAATGACAGCGACTAGGTGATGGTATGCACCAGCCACATCTCTCTTTCATCTGAGTTTAATAAGGCCAGTTATCTGTGCAGTTTCCATCCAGTCTAGCTGTACTTACTCTGAGGTTTTCTCCTCGCTGCCTGTGAAAGTGTGAACTCTAGCAGAGGATTGAAATGATCAACTCTTGTATTCTCTGAAAGTAAAATACTCCTTTAGTGAGGTCTTTGCAAAAAATAATTAATTGTAAAATGCAGTATTTAGGCTGAATATACTAAAGAAGGGATAAATTAAATTCTCAGCAAGGAAAGGCCATCAATAACTTATTGAATAAATTAATAAATTATACATTACTGGAGCTTGCTGCCCTGAGTGCACA